TCATTTATTTACATTAAATATAAAAAATACATCAGAATTGATTGAAGCTAAGGGCATACAAAAACTGTCCAATAGGAATCATCGATTATCAGAATTTGGAAACTTCCTTTACCAAATAGATTTGTGCATTTTGTAGTAATAAACTGGAAATGACAAGTGGGTCGGAAAGCACTTAAATGGTGCTATTATCGTAAAAAACGGTGTTAATTCAGTATAACATAGGTCCTTTCCTCGATAGAATTTGAAACGCTATTTGGTTAATTCATTTATTAAATAAATGTTTATTTTGATTCATGTGAGAATCATATACTGGGTAATATTTTTAATGTCTCTTCAACACCAAGGCAAAATTTTCATTATTCAGCTTTATATAGTTCCCAACTCCCAAGGGCGTCTAAATGAATGATGATCCATTTTGGAAATGAAAATTCATTTCCTTAAATTAAAGTTGCTAAAGTGGATGTTACGATCATTCAAGCGCGCGTTTTCATGTCTCTAGCTAGTTCTTCAAGTCAAGTCTATCTGATCCGAGGCTGAATTAATTGTATATGTTTTGGGTTCGGCAAATCAAAAAACTTAATTTCATTGCTTACATAGAGAGGTTACAAAGCTCCTCTGGGGAAGGATGAGTGCAAAATAATTTTTTTTATCCAAATCCGGAGGTTCATCGTTAAATTCCAGCAGACTGTGCTCAGACAATCTTGCCCTAGAAGACCCATGATCATCATTTGGTAAACAGGGAGAGCTTGAGCATTTTCTTTGTTGCCGATTAGAATTCCTGCACAAATGCAACCACATCATACTGCACGTACTGTTGCCCAGTATTTCTGGAAGAAGAATTAATGCATCTGCCCCTGCTGCTTTTTATTGTAGTAGTTCATGAATCATGACGTATAGCGTCTGGTGTAGTCAGTTCCGTCCCTTCTGCATGCATCCTTCAACCATTCGATACTGTTCCATTTTCGGCGCTGTTTAACCATTATGCATGTCGCCATCTTTCAGCAACCACGTACATCTGCTCCTCGCGTTTCACCCACTCTTCCATCTGTTGTTCAATACATTGAATGCTTTGTGCATGGTTGTTGGAGTACGTATGGTTTCTCTAGTTGCAGCTGTAAAGTTTTAACAAAAGACTCTTTATCCCATCTGAGGCTCAGGTTGTCTTTCACCTTCCCAAGTTTAGAAACCACCACATTAGAATAGAAGCTGCATTACCATTCACGTTAGCTAGCTGATCAATTCTGTTCAACAATATGTTCACAATCTTCTTTATCTGTCCAAAAGGGTTGAAAAACAAATGATTTTTTTTTACTTGTATACGGGACAGTGTGTCTATACTTGCCCAAGGATGGTGGCCTGGTGGGAGTAATTATTTAAGGAAACACATTTGGGCTTTAGACGGGCTTCTATATTTCTATATATATATTTAATTCATTCCTTCACTATTAATTGAGCAATTAAATTTAATGTAAGAGATTTTGGGAGATATTAATTATATTTGGTTGATGTAGTCATATATAACATTACTGGTAGATAGATAGATAGAGAGAGAGATAGAGGGAGAAAGAGAGATTTTAATTTGTTACATAAGAGTAGTTTGAAATTTGTTTGTTGAGTTTGTGGATCTGATGATTATTCAAGTATTGATTTCCCTTTTTGCTTTTTCCTTCATCTTTGATTGGTTGTGTACTTGAGTAAGATGGAATTTAAAACTATTATTATATTAATTTAGGCAGTATACCAAATTATGAAGTTATTGAATATATATGATATTGAAAATGCATGTGTTGGATCCTGAAAAGTGATGGATACTTTGTACCCTACAATTAAACATTAGTGTTAGTGTGACATAATTTAGACATATTAAGAAGATAGTTGTTATTTTGAATGCGGTTGTATTGATATTTTCTTGTTGACAGTTTGGACAACTAAAAATTACACTTGATTCAATTGCTTTCTTTTTGCAATTTTGCAAGCCTTGCACCAAAATCCATAGTCAACATCAATAAATGTGATACATGCAAAGATATGGTATCTTATTTTTTGATTGTTTTTTTTGTTGTATTAATGTTTTGAATACGACAAGGCTTGTATATTTTTCTAATGATATTTTTTGGGCTGATGAAGTAGCAATTTTTTGTTGTTTGAATTTCTTAATTGTTTATTCATTTTGATCAAACTTACAGTAATAATTTTATTTTTAGTTTTTTTTGTAAAAATATAATCTAAATTTTATATTGATATAAGTTTGCACTTTGATATGTACGAACATTGCTAGGTAAAAGTTCTAGAATGTATGAATTTTAATTTATGTCTTCAACTTCTTCATTTCATGGAGCAATGATTGCCCTCCTAATTATATTTATTTTATTTTTATATTATTGTTTTCGTTATTTTCCTATAGAACCCCATTTGTTTATTCTATTTTTCTTATTTTTGATTTTTTTTTAAATTTTTTGTCTTATATTTCCTTACAAAGACGCTGAAGAAAATAACCAATAGTAGAGACCAGATCTGCTCCTCACACGCACATCTAACCATGCATTGAGAACATCTCTTGTACTTGTTAGTTATTATTCATGGGAGATATTCCCAATGCACGGTGGATGTGCCTGTGAAGTGCCCGTTTGTGAGGAGCAGATCCCGCTTCCCAACAATATGCTCCCAATGATGATTTTTGACCACCCGCAACTCTAGTCTCATATCTCGTGCTCAACACAGATTTTTGAGAATGACAAGCAACATCCCATACAAGTGGTAAACTCAGTGCTAAAGCATCACATGGAGCATCCATCTCCCCAACCTTTGCAACACTATCAACGTCAGCCACAACATAATAATCTTCCCACTTTGTTTACTGATGGCTCTTTTGATTCAGATCCAAGTAATGCAGGATGAGGGTTCGTCCTCCAAAATCCCCATGAGCAGTACACCATTGCTGAAAGCAGACCTTCTTGGGCACTTACCAGCTATGATGCCGAAATTCGAGCCCTGCTAGGCGGTCTACATATGGCACTCTCCAATGGCATCTCACAGCTTTTGGTATATTCAGAAAATGCAACACTAATTTGCAACCACTGACCGAGTATCCTACTGGTTTGAGCAGCTACATAGAAGTCATCTGAGGCGTCTAATAGAATCATTTGAATATATAAAATTTATATATATTGTAAAGCAGCATAACCAAACAGCCCATATATCTTGTAAGGGTCAGTTTAGTTTGCACTATAATTCCAAACAATCACAGCAATGTAACCTTTAATATATAAATACATCTCTTTTTTTGTGCAAAAAAAAGCACGGATTGTTAGTAAAAAACAACACCATTTACAATTCTCCTCATCTGAGAATGGTCACTTTGGACCAGTCATACCCATAACCATAACATAACATATCATCATAGCCGCTGTTAAATTCAGTTTCAACCATGCCTATAACAGTCTTACCTAGTTGGGCCCCGGGATCTACTGAGAAAATAGTAAATGCATAAGCAAATAAAGATGAAAATGAGAACACAAAGGAGCCTTTGATGAAAGAAAGAGAAGAGAAGAGAAGAGAAAACCAGAGAGTTGACCAGAGGCTTCATTGATGGGGCTGGATCCATCAACAGCTCCTGCGAAAAGCAGCATTTCGAATAAAATAGAAAGGGTATTTGCAGAAAGTTCTTTACATCCAAGAAAAAAAAAAAAAAACGAAGCCACAAGATAGATGGGACCTCAATAGTGTAAAAACAAAATCTGATGTTCAGACCACTGTCCTGATATTTGGCTCTTCTGAAAGAATAGGACTGGACTTTGCATTTTTACGTACCATAAGTTCCGGATGACTTCCGAAGCATCTCTAATAAGCAGATCAGCTCAAATCGATAAAGGATATGTTTATAAATATCGTGAAGTTGAAGACAATAAATATCTGCATCTCTGTTAGTCAACTTCAATGCGGATGCAACTTCAGCCCATTTTCCATCTCTACTAACCTGAGAGAAATGTAATTTGGCTGAATTTTGAAGCTAAACAAAAAAAAAAAAAAATCTAATGCACTAAAATCTATTACTAAGGTATAAGACACTTGATTCAACTATAATCAATCATTTCTTTTTACCACAAATTGAACCAGTGGAATAGAAACATAAAAAGAGACTTTATAATATATCTAATGACATTTTTTATTAGATTTGCAATCAAAATTAAATGAGTTTTGTATAGTAGTAGAACAGAAATAACTATAAGAGAAACATTATTAAAAGAAACAGGGTGAGCTATCGTAGCTCCTCTTTTTGCCTCCAGAAAACTCACTCTCCTGCGAGTTTCTAAATTACCCAGTACTAAAACCAGGAAGATCATTCCTTTGGTTATTTTAAAATCATAACTAGACATTTGGATGTTACAAGGGTGGTGTTGCCTGCTTTAATTATTGTAGAGATTTAAAAGTTTTAATTTTTTTTTTCCGCAACTACATAGGATGAAACAGAACCAGCTGTTTGAGAATTATTTTGGCCTTTTGACTCAAAACTGTCAATTGTCGATGCTTCAAGCCACCTGATTATCAACGACTGATCCCTTTATTTAACCCTGATATCCATCTTCAGATAATGACTCCACTTATTTCTCCACTGTCTTACGATTCTAGTTCCGGTTTCCTTCTATTTCTCCCCCTCCACTGCCGGCCGGGAAAAAGCTGCATTACTAACTCGAAAAGGGGATAATAAATAATAATCGAACATGTTGTATTAATTACTTAGGCTGAGTTTGAAAGGAGTACAAATGCAATATTTTGTATTATTTTGTATGTACGCTGTATATATTTGCATTTGTATTGCTTTCAAAGGCTCAGTTTAAAGGAGTACAAATGCAAATTTCTAATGTAAAACCTTATATTTTGTATTAGTTTATATGCATTTGCACTCTATAAATTTACATTTATACTTATAAATTTACATTTGTACTCCTTCCAAATTGTGCCTTACGGGCAAAGGAGATGAGAATGTCTATTTAGGCACACTCTTCTTTGTTTGAACTTGTAAATTGCCCAGTTCTTCATTTATCTGCTTTTTTTATTGTTCTCTTCTTCTTTGACTTTAATTCCGAGTTTTGAAGTTGTTTGGGCTGATTGATTTCATTTTCCTGTATTACTTTCGTTTGCTCACTTGGTCGCAACTAATCCGACCATATTTGACTGATCTTCATTCCTTTAATCTGTTAAAGCACTCGTGGCTAATTCTCTACTTATTTTTCTCCTAGCCTACTTCAGTAATTAGATTTCATCAGAGTTCATCATTTGTTTATGTTCGAAACTGTTTCAGGCAAGAAAGGCTCTTCGAGCTTTAAAGGGTCTGGTTAAGTTACAGGCACTTGTTAGAGGTTATCTCGTTCGTAAACAAGCTGCTGCGACTCTTCACAATATGCAAGCTCTTATAAGAGTTCAGGCCACCGTCCGATCCCAGAAAGCTCGTACTCTCCACAACAGAGAGCACACATCTCAGCCACAAACCCGACCACCGCGCAAATCTATTGTAAGAATCTTGGGGGGAGTTTTGATTTACAAAGTCCAACACTGTTAGCACAAATTGGTACATGAGTAAGCATTTCTTCTCAATTCTCGTGTCTTCTCATTTTCAGGAAAGATTCGACGAGACAAGAAGCGAGCACACTGCATCTTTTCACAGTCGGAGGCTATCGGAATCTATTGATCCTGCCATCAACACCTTCGAAGAGAGCCCAAAGATTGTCGAAATCGACACAGTAAGACCCAAGTCGAGATCCCGTAGAACCAACACCTCAATGTCGGAGTGCGGCGAAGACCCAACTTATCAAACGGTCTCCTCTCCCCTTCCATGCCAGATTCCTGTTCGTCTCTCTATACTGGATTGCCGTAATTTTCAGGACTTCGACTGGAGCTTCACCAGCGACGAATGTAGGTTCTCCACCGCACAGAGCACCCCTCGGTTTGTAAATTCCGGTGGGTCCAATGCACCCGTTACTCCTGCTAAGAGCGTGTGCGGCGATAGCTTCTTCCTGGGACCCGGCTCTGGCCTTTGCTTTGGAGCACTGTATGACCTCACCTTTGCCTTGAACGAACAGTGTATCAGTGATTTCCGGGGAAGAAAAGATGCCTGCGCTGGTAGGGTTACGTAGCTCATAAAGGCTAGGATGAGTTTTCCAGTAAAAGAACTTAAAATCATTGAGATCATCAATCAAACCCTTAATTCCAACGCTCAGATTAAGCCCAAGTCAAAGGAACCTCAGAGCAGATGCAGCAATACAAGCAGATCCAGAGATCAGAAACCCTAGCACAAGTGAGACTAATCACAAAGAGAACAGCGAGGATCGGGTTTCTCAAATCAGCTAACGAAGAATTCGAGGGAGGGGGCAAAAATCAAGATCAACCCCCCAAGAAACAAGATCTATCAACCGGATGTTAATATAAACGGTCGATCGATCTATGAAATAGAAATGAGCAGCACAACAGATCGACTGAATAATCGAAACCAAATACGAAAGAAACCAGAGATCAAAATAGAGAAGATATTTAGCTGATCAAATCTCCCAACAGAGCGAGAGACAGAATGGCGGAGAAACCGGAGAACCTTAGAAAGCGAAGAAAAGAAAGAAGAAATATCAAGCAAGATGATAGAGAGCGAATGGAAGCGAAAGGCCATCCCGTTATTCACGTGCGGATACCCTACCCTATCCTGCGGGAAGAAAAGGCCACGTCGTCTTGACGAAGCCCTTCCCGCCTTACCATATCCATATGTAATAGTTACAAGGTTTTGCACTCTACATATTTGAATTTATACTCCTTCGTTTTAATCCTCTCTCTCTCGTCCCTCGTCCCTCGTCCCGATCTGTTCTTACAAAATGCCTCTTACGCCGACCTTACAATACATCTCAACAACCATACATGGGAAATGTTCTCAATACATACGGTGGGATGTGCCTGTAAAGTCGGTTTGAAGTATGATTCCGGTGTACAGTTGAGATGTGCGGTGAGATCGGTGCGAGGTGCGATCTCTGAAAAGCAAAATCCAAATTTTTGTCTGTTTGTCTCTCTGAAACCGGACTGTTCAGTATTAGACCTAGGCTAGGCATGAGACCTCCGCAGCACATCTAATAGCCTAACGGGCGAAAACTAAGAACCTTATTTTGTTATTGGGATTTGGGAGAATACTCCCGATTGGCTGAACCTCCCTTTTGATATATAGTTATTTCCTTTACTTGTCAAAAAAACCGGACTGTTAAAAAAAGTTACTTAGTTTGTGGTAATGTCAAACGGATGCGGACTTTACCGTAACTTATCTTTATATTATATTCTTTAATTTTCTAATATTTACTTGTATAGCAATTGTCCCTGGTAGTGGTGTGGTGTTTCTGGTGAAGAGGTTCAGTTGGATAAGAAATTAAGAGTTTCTGCAACAGACAAGGAAGAACAATGCCATCATTTTCGCTTGGGATATTGCTGCTTGCCCTTCTCTTTCTACTGCTAATTTCACATAAATCAGGTAAAGTATCTCTTACCCATTTGATTTTCTCATTTCTCTTGGTGCATACGCAGTCCAAATTAAGCCACAACCTCTCTGTTTACACTTTAGAGGGAAAACAAGTGACTCTGTGGAGATTCAGAGGGTTCTAAGGTTTTCTTTTTACGCACCCAAGAAATCTGTAGACTTCAATGATGCTTCTGGATCTTTTCTTTTTCTATTCTCCTATTTTCCTGTTTAGTTCTAAGATGGGTAATAAGTTTAGTTTATACTTGAAGAAATTCCGTACAAGTGTATAATTTAATGGGTTTGATGAAACTCTTCCTTTTTCTTACCCATTTTGTCATGGCTGTATTTGAGATTAAAAGGCTGTCTTCAAAAAGAAACTTGAATCTTCAACCAACTTACCGTTTTCTTCCTCTCTGTCTTTTGATTGGTTGCTAGTTGGATGGAGCTATGAAGTTGAGATCACTGAATCAACCCAGAAATTAAAATGCACATTAATTTCGCTTGTCCCCAACTTTCTTCCTTTCTGCTGCCTTGACTCTCTGAACATACTTTGCTTCAAATATTGTTTTGATATACTGCTCCGTCTTGATTTTGAGAAATAATAGGTGCACAGTTTGAGCACTGGTGCATAGCTGATGAACAGACAACGGATGATGAGCTGCAGAAGGCCCTTGATTGGGCTTGTGGGAAAGGCGGTGCTGATTGCAGCAAGATACAGGTGAACCAGCCATGCTATCTCCCAAACACTGTGAAGGACCACGCCTCCTACGCATTCAACAACTACTATCAGAAGTTCAAGAACAAAGGGGGATCCTGTTACTTCAATGGTGCTGCTATGATCACAGAGCTTGACCCAAGTAAGAACAGGATCAAATTCCTTTCTTCTCTCTCTACTCTCTCTTTCCAGCTAGATCTGTGGCTGTGGGGCATTATTCTCCGGACCCCTTGTCATATGTCCAGTGCACGCGCTTTGCTTAATATTGCTTTGACATCATGGGTGCTTCTAATTACAAGTCCAGCCTAGCTAGGATCCAATCAGATGGTTATGCCCGATAGGTCCATCACCACATGGGATGGCTTAAGAGTCAAGTTTTAATGATCTGACCGAACAGTTAGGGGTGTCAATTGGACCGGATTTGGTCCAATCCGATCCAATTCAATATTAGTCCATTACATATGGATCAGGTCCAGTCCAATCCGATGAATACTCTGGACTACTTTGCACCAGTCTAATTCAATGTTTAAACTGTCCAATCTGTTGTTTTAATTTAGATGGTTCTAACCCAAACTTGATACATGTATTCTTATCGATATTAGTCAATCCAATCCAATAAATACTTTTAGACCAAGGTTTTAAAAACCGGCCTAGAATCAGAACCATCCGTTCTAGCCACTGGTTTCTAGGTTGATGGTTTGACCATCTAGTTCGACCACCCGGGTTAACGGGTTATTGATCAATTCAACGGTTTTGACTAGGGACCCGGTGGGTTTAGAGTAAAATGAAACTAGTTGTTTGAACAGTTTCTGGGCAAAAAAAATCTGATCGTCCAGGTCAATGGTGGTTCAAAAATATTGTTTTAAATCATTAAGTGTGAATTGGTTCAATTAGTTAATCCAATCGGTCCAAATTAAAATTGATTTGGACCGGATCCAACCCAAATCCGATCCGTTGATACGCCTAACTGAACTGATCCATCTTTTTGCCTTGGGTGATCTCTTTAACTCCTCCTATTAAGGTCGGCGTGGGACCCCTAATCCATTCAGCCCGGATTCGTCGGAGGTAATATCTCTGCAACATCACATGGAAATGAGTAAACAAGGCAAATGCATGTGCCTAGAAAGTGCAGCTCATGTGTGTCATTGGTGCCAAGCAACGTTCTGCGGTCTTATTGAAGGTTTAATAATCAAAGGGTAAAATACAAAAAGCTTCTTTAAAATTTCTGATAATCATAAAAACCTTATAGTTTTATTTTAATAAATATTTTTTTAATTTTTGCGAAATTAGATAAAAACCTTTCATCTGTCACCTTTTTAGATAGAAAAGATTAGACTGATACACCAGTTTTTTGTAAATACCTATTTTTCCTTTTTATAAATTATTTTATATTTAAAATTATTGAAATAACTCTGTTTTAATTTGACAAAAACCTCTTTTAATGATCATTTTCTAATGTTTTCATTGAGTTAAAACATGGTTATTTTAATAATTTTATATGTAAAATAATTTATAAAAAATAGAATGGGTATTTAAAAAAAAATTGATACATCAGTTTAACGTTTTTAATATAAAAAGGTGATAGAAAAGAGGTCTTATCGAATTTCTCAAAAGTTAAGGAGAGAGATTTGTTAAAATAAAATTATAGGGGAAATTTATATGATTATTATTTTATCAGGAAATTTTACCCAAAATCAAATGAGAGTTTTTCGACTTTTTAGATGCTCAGAGTGTCAGAGGTGGCATTTGATTAATATTTTAGAAATAAGCAACCACTGTTAAAGGAAGAACTCAAAAAGTAGAAACTGATCCACGCATGTGGTCCATTCGAGACTTACTGGCTCATCTCATGGTAGAGAAGTCTGGAGATGATAACGGATAACCTGGCTCCTTCTGCAACCATTGAATGTTGACTGGATGTTGTGACTATTTATTTCTTTTTTGTTTTCTTTTTCATCTTTAGCAATATTGTATTATGTTTTCAGGTCATGGCTCATGCCGGTTTGAGTATCTTCCCTGATCCAGAGTTAGAAGGACCTTCAGCAGTGAACCGAGCTTCAAATAATAATCTCCTTCATTTATAAATTTGCATATTCACTCCCCATTTACTCTGCTACACCAGTCTTTTCTTTTTGTTTTTCTCAATTTTAACATTGTTACAAATTGGGGTTTTCCGGGTGCGAACAAATTTGCATATAATTTTTCCTTTTTTCTTCCTGTGGGGAAGAACCTCATAAAAGAAGATTGAAATAGTTTTAATTCAAAACAGAAATATGTGTACAAACTGCTAAAATCAAAAGTTTCCATTTGGCTAGGTGTGATTTCATCATCACAATGATAATTGGAAATGTAATTCATTAGACCAGGGGATTGCGCATGATCATGGATAATAATAACTGTTTTTTTTTTTTTAGGAAATTGTCTAAAATTTATAATGAGTTTTCAGTATTTCTCTTAAACTCACCACAACTTTTTAAAATGTCTAAAATTCACCATCTTAGTAGGTTTTTATTTTCCAAAACTCACATTCCTTTAGTGCATCGTTAATGCTTCTTAACAAATGTGTCCATGTCAGCATAAATAATAATTTTTATGATCAAATTACCCTTGAATGGCGAGTTAGAGGAAAAATTGTCTTTTTCAGTTTTCAATTTTCTTGTTTTTTTTTTTTGCATTTTTAGTGTTTTGTTATAATTTCCAATATCTTTTATAATTTCTGATTTTTTTTACATTTTCTATTTTCTACAATCTATAAATTTTCCTGTATTTTTTGTTATTTATTTGCAATTTCTGTGTTTTTCTATAATTTTTGGTGTTTTTTCTACAATTTTAATTTTCTGATTTTGTTTTTCAATTTCTATAGTTTTTAACTTTCTATAATTTGAAAATAATTTTTTATTTTGTTTTCAATTTCTATAATTTTTTATATATATTTTTTGTAATTTCTATGTTTTTATGTATTTTATATTTAAAATTTTTTTATTTTTTTTTCCTTTTTTCATGTCTAAATATTAAAATGGTAATATATCAACACCCGCTAATTTATTTTTGTATATATTTTATATTTTTTTATAAAGGTTAAAATGGTAATATATTAACACCCGCTAGTCTGTTTAATGTCAAGTTAGTGACATGGTGAGTTTTAGACATTTTGAAAAGTTGTAGTGAGTTTAAGAGAGATGCTGAAAACTCATAGTGAGTTTTAGACAATTTCCCTTTTTTTTCCTTGGGGTCAAGACCATACGCCCAACCTTTATGAGGGTAGAACTTGATCCCAAGTCTCTGCAACTTTACCGGCTGACCCAACTATTTTCTATATTATTTCATTCAAAACAAGCAACTATGAGACAAGTCTCTGTCTCATTGCAATTTCATTTGTATTAATACAATAGCATGGGGTTACAAATCAGAAACACGTAAATCTGAGTTCACTTTTTCTTTGACTTTACTTTGTTTTAAGATTTTTACTTTAATTACAATAAAAACAATAAAAAAATTGAAAACAAAACAAATTAGGATTTGCATCCCTATTGCATAAGCGCAAATGAAATTGCATTGTAAACAAACTAGAGGCCTAATAATAATTTCTTGTGACAGCTAGCCTTTCCATTTGGACTCATTGACGAGTGCTACGAAGACAAATCTCACAATTACTAGAAAAAGAGAGATAGAGTTCACATGAAGCACTAAACACCAGTGTAAAATAATTGATCTATTAGTAGTTGAGATCCATGCGATACACGGGCCTTGCTATACAAAATTGAAGTTGAAAGAGCCTTATGACATTTCTAATTGAGCTAAGTCAATCCAAGCCAAATCAGGTATTATATTTTGAGTTATGTTTATTTATTCTGATGGCAATTCAAATTAAAACCCTAGTGAGAGTGGCTAATCTAGTAATCTCCTAGAGATGTTAATGAGTACCATTTAACTTGACTCATCCTTACATGCTCAAGTTATAGTCAGGCTTATTAGGGTGTAGGATCAGGTTAGAGTTTTGATTATTTAAGCCAAATCGGGTGTAGGTTTGGCTGATCTGGCCCATTGGATCATCATATCCTTATACATCTAAAGAGTATTCTTGTAATTTGATCTGACTTCTAGCCGCTAACCTTAAAGTTTATAATTTCTTTCAATGTTAGTTTTAACCCAAAGTGAGTGTAGGGTTAAGTTTGCATTTAATTTATTTGCATCCCTATGCTTTTGCATTAGTGAAAATGGAATTGCATTACAAACAAAATAGTCCCAATAATAATTTGTGGAGACAACTTTTCCATTTGGACTCGTTGAGTCGTTGACGAGTGCTAGAAAGCCAAAGCTCACAGAAAGCACCAAACACTGAGAACACATTTCCTGCGACGGATAAGCCCGAGACCCCAGTGAAAGCCGGTCTTTTTAATCTGGCATGTTCAAAACTCGCTGGAGGGTCTCGGGCTTGTCCTGAATCAAGGGTCTCAGGTAATGCGTCCTCGCAAACACTAGTGTAAAATAATTGCTCTATACAAACATGGCGGATGGACAAGGTTTCTTTCATTTAGGGGGCGTTCTTACACTTATGACTTGAGAACTGGATCCTCCTTTCGGATGAAGTAATAAGTGTTAATCTCTAATTGTGCCCAAATGTAAGAATCTGTTTGGTTCATGGGAATAGGGGTACGTGTTATGGGCCCGACCGTAGGATCGTGTCACGGGTTGCTCCACCATAGGAACCTCAGATCTTTCCTTTCCTTTGGCCTTGCGTACAGGCCCTATTTTGACTATCTCGTGGGTGACTTGTCCAAGAGATCATCGAACTCTCCTTTACTCTCTTTCTTGACTGAATATTCGATATCCTCATTCAATAATGGTGTCTCCTTAAATAGGAGATTACAAGAGGAGGGTTCCTTGTTGGATTCGGCTAGGTTAGTCCTAAACGGACTCAAACTCCTACTTCTAATTAGACTACTTACTTTTATTTGTACTACAATTCCTTCTAAGAATAGGGGATAAGATAAGGGAGAATGGGATAAGGGATAAGGCGCGTTCTCTTGACGTGTCCAGATAAGGGTCCGCTCTGTTGCTGCTGCCGGTGTGCGTGCGCGCGGTGCCACTGCTGCACAGTGCGTGCGTGCAGCTCATGGTGCCGCTGCCGTGCGGTGCCGGTCGTGTGCGCGCTGCTGCCTCAATTGCTGCCGTGTGGTGCAGGTGCTCATAACATCACTCCCCTCCTAGACTATGAGCTTGTCCTCAAGCTCGAGGTCTGGATAGGCGTTGTGGAGATCGGTCCAGGGGATCCAGGTCGCCTTTGCTGGAGGTAGTCCCTCCCATTCGACTAAAACCTCGAAGGTGCCTTGGTGGATGCGGGACCGGATGAGGGCGCGGGGCTGGAGGATAGGTCTGCCATCCTGCAAAGGGGGTAGGGGAGGCACATGGTCGGCAGGAGTGCCAACATAAAGCTTTAAGAGGGACACATGGAAGATGTCGTGGATCCTGCTGTGCTCCGGGAGCTCGAGTTGATAAGCTACATTTCCTATCTTCCTTAGAATCTTGAAGGACCCGTAGAATTTGGGGGCCAGCTTAGGGGGCCCCCGGCGCCTGAGAGACAGCTGCCTGTATGGTAGGAGTTTCAGCCAAACGTATTGCCTTGGTTCGAAGGTGACTTCGCGGTGCCGCTGATCGTAGGCGTGTTTCATACGTGCCTGCGCCTGCTGTAAGCGTAAGGAGACTTTGGCCAGGAGGGCATCGCGAGCTTGGAGGCTGCGGTCCACTTCTTCCAACCGTGTTGAGCCCGGCTCGTAGGACAGAAGGCGTGGAGGATCTCAACCGTACACAACTCTGAAGGGAGTCATTCCAAGGGAGGAGTGATAGGATGTATTGTAGCAGTATTCAGCCCATGGGAGGTACTCCACCCATTGCCGCGGCTGGTCACCCACGAAGCAGCGAAGGTACATCTCAATTGTCCGGTTCACCACCTCTGTTTAGCCGTCTGACTATGGATGGTAGGCTGAGGAGAAGGCGAGGGCCGTGCCTTGTAATCTAAAGAGCTCCTTCCAGAATGTGCTTGTGAAGATCGGGTCCCGGTCACTGACGATGGATTCGGGGAGTCCATGTAGGCGAAAAATGTGGGTGAAGAAGGTATGGGCGGCCGAGACTGTGGTATAAGGATGGGATAAAGGGAGGAAGTGAGCATATTTGGAGAATCGGTCCACTACCACGAACAAGACTGACTTCCCCCCGACTTTGGGCAACCCTTCGTTGAAATCCATGGCAATATCGGCCCAGATCTGCGTTGAGAGGGAGAGGGGTTGGAGCAGGCCTGCGGGGTGCAGATTTTCCCATTTTTGCTGTTGGCAAACTGTGCAGTTCTGGATAAAGTCTCGCGTCGAGGCCCTCATAGCTTGCCAGTGGAAGTGAGCGTGAATACGATGCAGCGTCTTTTGAATGCCCTCGTGTGTCGAGTGGTGTATACTGGCGATGATGGAGGGGATTAGGGGGCAATCGGCGGATAGGTAGATATTCTTTTTGTAGAATACCAGCCCGTCGTGGAGAGACCAGTTCGGGTTAGTAGACCCAGACTGTATTTGTTGGACCAGGTTGTTCCATTCTGATGACTATGGCAGTGTGTTCCGAATGTCTTCTAGCAAGGTGGCTCGTGGTTGGGAGATCGCATGGAGGAGCATACTATCTTCTTCTCGTCGGGACAGGGCATCTGCTGCACGGTTCAGGGATCCTACCTTGTAGTCCACCCGGAAATCGAAACCCAGAAGCTTGCTGACCTAATGTTGCTGTGGGGAGGTGGTCAGTCATTGTTCCAACAAGTATTTGAGGCTGTAGTGGTTTGTTTTGACGACGAAGGGTCTGCCCCACAAGTATGGCTTCCAGTGTTGTACTGCCTTGGCTAGGCCAATGAGCTCGCGTTCATAGGCGGGTAATTTGAGATGGCGGTCATCTAGCTTGCGGCTGAAGAAGGCTATCGGGTGCCCTTGCTGCTGAAGGATGGCTCCTATGCCTGTGCCGGAAGCATCACACTCGACCGTGAACTCAAGATCAAAGTTCGGTAGCTGGAGGACTGGTGTGGAAGAGAGGGCTTCCCTTAGGCTTACGAAGGCTGCATCGGTTGTGCTATCCCAGTGGAAGGCATTTTTCTTGATCCGGTTGGTAAGCGGGGCTGCTAACAGGCCGTAATTCTGTACGAACTTTCGGTAGTACCCTGTTAGCCCTAGGAACCCATGGAGAGCCTTGGTGGACTGTGGCCGGGGCCAGTCCTTGATGGCCTGAATTTTGGAGCTGTCCAAAATTACACCTTGCCCGCTG